GCTGAAGGTCGGGCAGAGTCCACGCGGTCCGGGGGTGCAGGGCGATGGGGGGCGGGTGCGCTCGTGGGCACGTCCTTGCAGTGGGTGTTTTGCACCAGGACGTAACTTCCACACCCGTCGGAGATGCTTGTGGGGGGATTAGAAATCCAGCCCGCAGCCCGGGTGCGGGGACTTGGAGGGCACCAGTCCCTGCGCCCACAACCCCATGGCCCTCCCCACAGCTGTCCCCCTCCCCCATGCAGGCCTCTGAGAGGGAGACCCTGGAGATGCAGGACAAGCTGAACCAGCTCAGCGAGGAGAAGGCGACCCTCCTGAATCAACTGGTGGAAGCAGAGTGAGTCCCAGGCTCCGGCCACATGTGGTCATGAAGGTCACTGCGCCTGCAGAGCTCTGTCCACTCAAACCTCGTGGGAGGCCGGCTGTGGCAGCTCACACCCTCACACCCATATCCCAGTGCTGTGGTGCTTTGGTTTCTTTTTATCTTTTTCCTTTTTTTTCCTTTTTCTTTTTTTTTTTTTTTTAGACAGTCTTGCTCTGTTGCCCAGGCTGGAGTGCAGTGGCGTGGTCTCAGCTTACTGCAACCTCTGCCTCCCAGGTTCAAGTGATTCTTATGCCTCAACCTCTCAAGTAGCTTGACTGGGGTGGGGCAGGGGTCTAAAGGATTACAGCCAAAGTCGAGTAGCTGGGATTACAGGCACCGGCCACCATGCCCAGCTAATTTTTGTACTTTTAATAGAGACAGGGTTTCACCATATTGGCCGACCTGGTCTCGAGCTCCTGACCTCAGGTGATCTGCCCATCTCGGCCTCCCAACGTGCTGAGATTACAGGCATGAGCCTCCACAGCCAGCAATCCCAGTGCCCTGGGATGCCAAGGCAAGAGAATTCTTTGAGGCCAAGAGTTCAAGACAAGACTGGGCAACACAGTGAGACACCATATCTACAAAAAATGTTTTAAATTGGCTGGGCATGGTGGCGCACACCTGTAGTCCCAGCTACTAGGGAGGCTGAGGTGGGAGGATCACTTGAGTCCAGGCGGTCAAGGCTGCAGTGAGCTATGATTACACCCTGCACTCCAGCCTGGGTGACAGAGCGAGACCCTGTCTCTAAAAAAGAAGACCACCTGGGCATGGGTCTAGAACCCACCCAGTGGATCCCAGATTCCCCACAGAGCTGTCTACCATCCTAGGCAGCAGCTCTTGAGCCAGACAAGTTACTGCTGGAAATTAATGGCTTTCTTTGCGATGATGTTTTAAAATATCCATTCTTTTTATGGGGTCTGATTATTGAAGTAACACACACCCGGCTCTAAGCATTTTAAACTATTAAGCTACATTGCGTGCAAAGTAGCCAGAGAAAATTGCATATAATTCCAGCGCTCTTCACGTCCCAGAAAACCAGGGTGTAGATGTATTCCTGTCTTGTTCTGCTCTGCCTTTTATGCCAGCGGGTTGTTTCAGAAGGTCCCCGTTGAAGCAGTGTAGTGTGTTCGTGGCCGTCTGCCTCACACTCTGTTGCAGCTGCTTGGCTCTGCCAGTGCAGCTCGAGAGCCTTGAGAAGTCTTAGAGTGTGAGCTCACCGAAGCATCAGAAGAAAACTCCTGATTTCTTACCCTGCCTCTCAAGACACCAGATTATGCTTTGGGAGAAAAAAATCCAACTGGCAAAGGAGATGCGCTTCTCCGTGGATTCCGAGATCGGCCAGCCGGAGATCCAGGCCATGAAGGGCGAGATCCACAGGATGAAGGTGAGGGGAGGTGAGCGCGTGGCAAGGCCTGGTGGGTGCCCCTCCCTGGGCTCCGGAGACCTGGCCACGCCACGGCCTCAGCTCCCCCGGGGCTCCCGTGGGAACCACACTGGCCACATTGGCGGGTGGCAAGGGACGAGATTCCCGGGGAGCAACCCGCTCCAGCACAGTGACCTGCAGCCCAGCCGAGCACTGGCAAAGCGCACGTCCTCCTTGACCCTCCTTTCATGGCACTCTGTTTCTTCCTGGGCAGAAATATGACAGAACAGCACAGGACACACACGAGCACGTTCGTGTCATTTCACAAAACACGGTTTTATTCTTACTCCGTGAATCTCAGAACTCTGCTTCTTTTTGTTTGTTGGTTTGGATTTTTTTTTTTTTTTT